GGAAACCTGATGACGTGGGTCGGGTCCTGGTTCCAGCCGGCGTTCACAGAGTTGCACATGACGTCCCCGGTCTCCGGGAAGATCTCCTCTATCAAAGCCTTCTCCCCGCTCAGCGCGATTCTCTCCCCCAGATCTGGAGTCACTCTTACCACCAAGCAGTCACAAGGCTGGAAATGTTTCCTTTGTTCTTTCTCTTGTTTCCATCGCTCCAGTTCCTTAATCATTGGCTGCAGCTGGTAATACTTTGCTTCTTCATATAAAAGATTAAAGTCCTGGGAAAAGAAAAAAAAAGAGAGAGGGAGAGAGAGAAACTAGAAATGCTTATAATTCTCTTTTAAAAACTAGTATTGTTCCTGTTTGACCTACTTAGGCTTCTGTACTGTCAGCAAGAGCGCAAAGGCAACAGGTATCCACATACTTTGTCCTGGTCTTACACCTACACTCAAAACCACGCCGGGTTGAATCTCTTTGCGCTGACCATGAGGTTCCCACTGCACTGAATTACTCTTTCATTTATTATCCCACAAGCTCAACGCCAGAAGGCTTTACTTTTGGATTAAGAAATCAAAATAACTGGTTGCAATAAGCGAAGCCTGCTGATGTAAGAGGAGAGAGATGTCCCGAGCCCTAATCTCCACTCTTGGCCTCAGACACTGGCTCCTGATCTCGCAGCGGGAGATGCTGGGCTTTGCTGTCACCTCTCACACATGGTACAAGACGGAGATGTCAGTTCAGCTTCGCCTCTCGCCCGTCTCTGCTGACTGTGAAATTCAGCTGCAGCAGCTCAGCTGCTCCCCACGTTCCATCATTATTCATGGATTTAAAGTGCACTTTGGAGCCTGGTAAATTATAGGGAGGTAGTGACCGTCCCGCTGGCGGGGGGCTCACACGCGTGCTCCAACAACTTAAAAAAGAAACAGTTCTTCCCAGCCATCAGTCCATCATCTCACTTGAGCTTTGGGCAACTGAAATTCCCAGTTTGAGCCAATTCCCAGCTCATGGATTGAGATGTCTTCTGCGCATCCTCATGAAGAACTTCTCATCACATTTCCAACAGATCTTCCCACCTTGGCTAAAATGCATGAGAGTATGTTGAGGCCAAGGGTGTCAGCAGCCCCCAGACCCGAGGAGGCACCACTGCTCCCCAGGACCAAGCCAAGAGAGGAGAAAGCACCCAGGGATGCTTTGCTTACACCAGTCCCACCACCTCCTTTGGCCTCCTGGAAGGAAGAGGAGCAAGGAGAGCATGGCATCAGCTCCTCTTGCCAGAGCCCTGCTGTTTGTGTTCCTGGCTCTTACACCTCTTTACAGGTGGAGATGCCCCAGTGCAGGTACATGACTTTGGTGGAGTGTGCGGTGGGTCAACACCCGGACAGAAAGGCCAGTTCTCCACCACCGCAGTGAAATGAGATGAAAAATCATGAGAGTGGAATGACTGGGATCACTTAGGCTGGAAAGAAGGGCAGGGCAAGAAGTAATCAAGAAACAGGCCCCAAAATTACATGAGAAATAAATAACGGCAGTGCTGCTGCGCCAGGACTGGGGGGAGAGGGGGATCAGAGGGCAGTGAGTGTGCAGCACAAAAATGTGCGACTCTTCATAGCGGCTCAGAATTAACCTGTAAAATCTGCTGCTGCGGGATATTATTGAGCCAAATCAGTTAGCTGTGCTCTCGTTTGGCACCGCTGGTAGCAGAGAGGTGCTCCTTCACCCCAGGGCTGCCTGCAGCCCCGAGGTGCATGAATATTCACAGTGACACCGGCAAGGTTATCGCTTACAAAAGGGACATCCGATCCTTTACATCCCTTTGATGTCTGTGAAGGCTGGGACAATATGCGCACCACTAAAGGAGGAAAAAAGGACCAGAAAGAGAGAAAAGGGTGATAAGAGCAAGTGAGAAGAAAGGAGAAGCAAATAATTTGCATATAATTGAACCAGAAATAATAAAAAAAAAACGAAAACCAAAACGCCCCAGCAAATAGATGAGCCAGCAGCAGTGAAAGGCCATTACCTGCACGGAGTTCAACCGGCAGTATCCGTTCAAGGGAAACCTGATGACGTGGGTCGGGTCCTGGTTCCAGCCGGCGTTCACGGAGTTGCACATGACGTCCCCGGTCTCCGGGAAGATCTCCTCTATCAAAGCCTTCTCCCCGCTCAGCGCGATTCTCTCCCCCAGATCTGGAGTCACTCTTACCACCAAGCAGTCACAAGGCTGGAAATGTTTCCTTTGTTCTTTCTCTTGTTTCCATCGCTCCAGTTCCTTAATCATTGGCTGCAGCTGGTAATACTTTGCTTCTTCATATAAAAGATTAAAGTCCTGGGAAAAGAAAAAAAAAGAGAGAGGGAGAGAGAGAAACTAGAAATGCTTATAATTCTCTTTTAAAAACTAGTATTGTTCCTGTTTGACCTACTTAGGCTTCTGTACTGTCAGCAAGAGCGCAAAGGCAACAGGTATCCACATACTTTGTCCTGGTCTTACACCTACACTCAAAACCACGCCGGGTTGAATCTCTTTGCGCTGACCATGAGGTTCCCACTGCACTGAATTACTCTTTCATTTATTATCCCACAAGCTCAACGCCAGAAGGCTTTACTTTTGGATTAAGAAATCAAAATAACTGGTTGCAATAAGCGAAGCCTGCTGATGTAAGAGGAGAGAGATGTCCCGAGCCCTAATCTCCACTCTTGGCCTCAGACACTGGCTCCTGATCTCGCAGCGGGAGATGCTGGGCTTTGCTGTCACCTCTCACACATGGTACGAGACGGAGATGTCAGTTCAGCTTCGCCTCTCGCCCGTCTCTGCTGACTGTGAAATTCAGCTGCAGCAGCTCAGCTGCTCCCCACGTTCCATCATTATTCATGGATTTAAAGTGCACTTTGGAGCCTGGTAAATTATAGGGAGGTAGTGACCGTCCCGCTGGCGGGGGGCTCACACGCGTGCTCCAACAACTTAAAAAAGAAACAGTTCTTCCCAGCCATCAGTCCATCATCTCTCTTGAGCTTTGGGCAACTGAAATTCCCAGTTTGAGCCAATTCCCAGCTCATGGATTGAGATGTCTTCTGCGCATCCTCATGAAGAACTTCTCATCACATTTCCAACAGATCTTCCCACCTTGGCTAAAATGCATGAGAGTATGTTGAGGCCAAGGGTGTCAGCAGCCCCCAGACCCGAGGAGGCACCACTGCTCCCCAAGACCAAGCCAAGAGAGGAGGAAGCACCCAGGGATGCCTTGCTTACACCAGTTCCACCACCTCGTTCGGCCTCCTGGAAGGAAAAGGAGCAAGGAGAGCATGGCATCAGCTCCTCTTGCCAGAGCCCTGCTGTTTGTGTTCCTGGCTCTTACACCTCTTTACAGGTGGAGATGCCCCAGGGACGTGACTTTGGTGGAGTGTGTGGTGGGTCAACACCCGGACAGAAAGGCCAGTTCTCCACCACCACAGTGAAATGAGATGAAAAATCATGAGAGTGGAATGACTGGGATCACTTAGGCTGGAAAGAAGGGCAGGGCAAGAAGTAATCAAGAAACAGGCCCCAAAATTACATGAGAAATAAATAACGGCAGTGCTGCTGCGCCAGGACTGGGGGGAGAGGGGGATCAGAGGGCAGTGAGTGTGCAGCACAAAAATGTGCGACTCTTCATAGCGGCTCAGAATTAACCTGTAAAATCTGCTGCTGCAGGATATTATTGAGCCAAATCAGTTAGCTGTGCTCTCGTTTGGCACCGCTGGTAGCAGAGAGGTGCTCCTTCACCCCAGGGCTGCCTGCAGCCCCGAGGTGCATGAATATTCACAGTGACACCGGCAAGGTTATCGCTTACAAAAGGGACATCCGATCCTTTACATCCCTTTGATGTCTGTGAAGGCTGGGACAATATGCGCACCACTAAAGGAGGAAAAAAGGACCAGAAAGAGAGAAAAGGGTGATAAGAGCAAGTGAGAAGAAAGGAGGGCAACAAACAGGCTCACTGGAAGGAAATAGATGCAAACAGGAAAATTAAAGAAGCCTCGTCCCTGGATGAAAGGTATTTCCCCCCCTCCCCAAAATCAGCGCCCAGCTGAATGATTACTGCTGCTCCCTGCCCACCAGTGAAGCTCCTGGTTACTGAGCATGGGACTGGTTTAAACCTGGGGGGATTAGTGGCCTAAATGAGAAAACAACCCGTCCCAAACTTTCTGAAATCTTCCTCCTGTGGTACACCGGAGCAAGACAGGGTACCGCTTAACTGCGGTTATCAGAGGGGTGTGTGGGGATATCAAATGTTCACTGGGCACCTACTGCTCCCATCTATCTCTCTTTAGAGCAAAGGAAACTGTGCAATGCCTAGGAAAGCTGTAGTGTAACGCTGTGGAGTGAACAGGAGCATCCAGCGCCTACCAAAGTGATGGGAAGTCTCCTGCTGTTTTCAATAGGTCCTGAAAAACCAGTTTTAGAATATCTGTGTTCCTGGTCACTGCAAAATAACCTATTATTTGTGAGGTCAATCAATTGAGTATGTGCTAAGAAAACTCAACAGTAAAACCCAGAAGAGAGGGCAGAGCCATATAAAGCCCAGTGCTTCATCCTGAAGGCGGGGAGGAGCAGAGCTCCTGAGGCTGGGTGCAAAGCCCACCACAGTCCTGAGAGCCTCCTCGGCTCCTTTTGCTGGGCTTTGGACTTGGCTGACAGGGTCCTGAATCAGGGCAGTTCACAGCCCAGCACCCCCAGGCCAAAAGAGTAATGCCTTAGAGGGAACACCACCAGGATGGCACCACTGATAGCACTCTGATATCATCTTGTGGTGAGAAAACCAGTTTCAGAGGGAACAGCTCTCCCACCGCAGTGGGAGGCACCCAGTCCTAAGCCTGGGTTAAGCCAAGGTGCCTGGACCATTTTTAAAGTAAGACTCTCATCTCCATGCCAGTTCCACACCGGGGCTGAGCCTGAATATGCTGGGCAGGGTTTAGCAGCTGGGGGAAGGGGTTTGTAAGAGAAGCTGGGGATCTGAGATGTTCTGGTGCAAAGAGGCAACGTGTTTGTGCGGCGTGAGGGAGCCTGGGCACTGCCTGCCACCAGGCAGAGGTGATAAAGGGAGGTTTTTACACTGTAATAATTAGAGGGGAGAAAGAAGTGTCTTCTGCTAGGAACGGCAAGAGGGAATTCACAGCTGTCCACCGGTGACAGTGCTGGGAAGAGACACCTTCCCTGACTACAGGCTGCCCCAGAGCAGCCACCTCCAGCCCAGCCTGGCTCCTCCAAGGAGAACCTGGCACTTCCACAGGGGCTGGGCCACCACCACAGAATGTGACAGTGTATTTAGGGAGGGAAGAGACCCTTGTGAAACCAGGAAGAAAGAATAAATGGCTCATGGCATGGGAGTCCAGTTCTCCCAGGGTCGCTGAATGGCTGGGTGGTGAATGTGATGGACTTGACACACCATGAAATACACAATCTTCTCGTTCAGGTTTTATACACCGTTCCAAGTGAAGCTGTGACCCCCCTGGAAGTGACGCCCAGCTCTGGACTGTCTACACAGGATGCTCAGGATGCCCAGGTAACACTGACAGAGGTATTTCCACCCTTGCACTGTTGATGTAAAATCCTACCCCGATGATTTGCAAAAATTTAACATGAAATGTCAAGTAGAAGAATTTGACTCAGAAGGGCCAGTAAAGCCCTGCTAAATACTGGCACAGACAGCCCCCAGACACCCTCAAACCGTGCCTCCTGTGAACCTGATGCTGGTCTCCCAGTACTACAAGGGTCCTCTGTTGTTCTACCTAATGCTGACTCCTGAACAGGCTAAAACAGCTCTTTCTGCCCAATTTTTATTTGTTATTGTTTACATGTCATCCTGACTCAAGGTTTCTTTTGTATTTTAGTGCTGTGAAGATCTGACACCTGGCTGCGAGAGACAGTCGCTCACTTCTAGGACAACCAATCCTGACTCAAGGTTTCTTTTGTATTTTAGCGCTGTGAAGATCTGACACCTGGCTGCAAGAGACAGTCACTCACTTCTAGGACAACCGGGCTCTTTGCTAAGGTCAGTACGAAAGCACTTGAAATTAGATGCACTCATTTTAAAACGATGTTAATAAATTAGCGTGCCAGCCCTGTGGTTTTGGTGCGGGGGTGACCTCTAGAATGGATATAAAACTCATGATGTCCTGTGCGTTTGTGCTCCTCCCCTCCTTGAGCCAGAGTAATAACACACATGTTGGCCATGTCTATTTTTGTTTGAAGAGCTCTAAGCAGGGAGTGGGTCCCAAAGAAGCAGGTACGATGGGTCTGGGTTTTGCATGAAGTTATGCACGGCCAGGCTGCTCGCCATGGGCTGGCAGCGGAGGAGAACCCAGCCAAACAGTAATTTCTCAGCATACTTCATGTGGCTTCAAATCCCCCAAACCCAGGAAAATTATGTGAACTATTAGAGTGTTGCTTTCAGCAGGGAGACCTGTCAGTTACCGAACGCTTTCAAGTTCTGGCTTATTAGGAGTTGGAAGCGTAATTAATATTCACTGTAAACACACCAGTCAGACTTGATAATACAGAATCACTAGCCTAGGAACACATACCCCACTTTCTCTGCGTTTCGGTGTTAACTTAGTCTGAAAACAACACTTAAATAGCAAACACAATAACGCTGGTGCGGTACTAACATTCCAAACTTTCCAAAATAACCATCTGAGCAGCAATTCAAGTTGAAAAGCAACTTGGCTAAACCTTGAGGCTAATAAACTGCTTGATTAAATTAAGGGGTAAAACCTAATAAATATTCAAAACACTTGATAATGCTTTGTTTGACATAAAGAACATTTAATGCAAGTCTCACTGGAAAACCTGTCAGGTTTTATACCTTAAATAGAGTTTTGCATTTAGAAACACTGAGTGATTCCATTTGCTGCCTTTGATTATTGTCTTCTGTCACTTTAATCATGCTGGTAAAATTACACGATTTCTGTGAAGTCAAATCCGTTTACAATGCAGTTTTAATATAGCTTTGCAGCGCATTCTTCTATGCATTTTTATTTAGTTACTCCCTACCTAGCAATACTTTGCTTTGTTCTCGAGCCCTCATTAGCCTGGGGTTTGCTCTAAAGCTCTCCCAGGGAGGAACTAAATAAAAGACAGTTAACCCTATGCAAAGAGAAGGTCTGGAACAACGGACTGTGCCCGGGCACAGCGCCGGCTCTCCCGCGTCTCTCCCAGCCCTGCCAGCGGCTCGCTGCGCAGACAAGTCCTTGGCATCCACCGGCGCTCTCACCTCCAGGCTCTTACCAAATCCTGCTGGTTTTGTTCCACAGCACCTCTGAAAGCTGGATGAGGGTCAAGGCCACCATCGGCTCAAACTACATCTCTTCTGCCCTCGCTTCTCACGCCGCCTTGGCCCACCAGATTGTCCAAAATTCTGCCTCTACAGCATCGCTCTGGCATTTGGCCTCTACCGCTTCTCCGTCCACCCCCCTTGACTTGATCCATCATCTCACAGCCCACAGAACTGGTCTGGGCTTTAGCTTCATGAGGAAAAACTTCTTTCCTGTGAGGGTGGCAGAGCCCTGGAACAGGCTGCCCAGAGAGGGTGTGGAGTCTCCTTCTCTGGAGATATTCCAACCTGGCAGGATGCATTCCTGGGTGACCTCTCTGGGTGACCCTGCTCTGGCAGGAGGTTGGACTGGGTGATCTTCAGAGGTCCCTTCCAACCCTGACCATTCTGAGTGATTCGGTGATTCACTCCTATCTGTGCATTTTCTCTCATTTCTCAGTAAAAAGCTTTTCTCACATCCAGCCTTAGTGCTCTGGTCTCACCCTGCTTCACGGCACCCCGACCTGCAGGCCAGCCTTCCCGATCTGCCCACCGCTCTCCCCACAAAGACTGGTGCTCAGGACACCCCTTCTGGGCCCATGAATGCCAAAACTTCTCCCTGCCTTAGGACTAGACATGTGCTCTGCTGCACAGCATCGTGTCTGCTCAGCATCAACTCCAGACCCCAATGACCTCAGTGCCACCAGCACCCTCACGGCCAGCGCTGCCACCCAACAACAGGGACGAAGCTCTTCAAGAACATTCACTCGCCCTAGAGCAGCGTCCAAGCAACACACCCAACTTCAGAGTCAACTCATAGCTGTCACAGGTTTGTGTTATAGAAAGAATTTGCTTTTTTGGTTTGTTTTACTGGCCCTGTGAAGCACCTCAGCAGTTAGGTCGACTGCAGTAGCATTTCAATCTTAGCTTTCAAGATCCAAGGTGACCACGTTGAATGTCTGGGCTCCAGCCCCCTGCCCTCGCACACGGACCCACCTGAAGCCACGGCGCGTTTTTTTAGTGCACCATTACTTTTTGACTGAACGTTTCTTCCAGAAACATCAGTCTGGAGCCTTGATTGAGGGTGACTGATCTCAAAAGGACATCTGCACCAGGGGGTACCGCAGTGCAGAGCAAACCACGGCAGCATCATCTGCTTTTCACCCACGGGGACCCTCCTTTGAGCAGGCTGTTACCCACCCGCCCTTCAGTCCATGGCTTGGGCTTCTGCTGGGAACTGAAGCTTTGGTCTTGCTGCCCGGGCTGCTGGGGACTGGGAGCTCTGCCTGGCCCGGGGACATGGGGAGATGCTTGCAGAAAGTCCCACCTGCCCCATCCCACTGACCTCTCCCCTGGGATCTACACCCCTCACACGGTCAGAAAGTTGTATAACTGAAAGATCAAAAAGCACCCCAGTGTGTGGGAAGAAAAATGAACCCGGGGAGATTAAAAGGGTGGTCAGGGAGTGGGTTTGCAAAATATATTTTAAGAGAAGGTTTACAGGTCCCTCGTTTGTCGGGGCTGAAGACAGCTTTAGGACAGAGACGGGCTGCAGACACTGTCCTGCTGCGAGAGAGGGCAGGGGTTTGGGGGGAGGGAGGATTCGGTGCTGTCACACCGCGGTCCCACGGGCCGGGCTGTGAGTTGACTGTTTTGTGTGTCCCTGTCCCCAGAGCTGGCGAGGGGCAGCCCCGCTGCAGGGAGGAGGCTTCGTCCATCGAGCCGGGGAGCGAACCGGAGGGTCGGCAGGTAGGATTTCAGAGAGAGACAGGACTTCAAAACCCCCGCTAAAAACTTTTTAAAATCCATTTCCTTGGCAGACGAAGATGGCAGGGGCTGCCCTTGGCTCACCCGGCCCCACAGCTGTGGGAGGCTGTGTGTTAACAGCCCAAATCCTGTAAACAGGGCAGAGAATGTTTAAATATTGTAGAGGTTTAAGTGTAACTCGGGTGAGGTTGAGCTCGGGTGGATGGAGGTGGGCTCCTGAGGGGGGTGTGTGTGGGTGTGTGGGGGTGTGGGGGTGTGTGTGTGTGTGTAGGTTTGTGCAGGAGGGTGCCTGCCCCAAACTCAGCGACTCCTGGAACGTGGGCAGATGTAAAGGCCAGTTAGTGAATCTGGCTCCCTGCACGTGACTTCTTCTGAAGGTAAGATGCAGACCAGAGTGAAACCAGTAAGTGTCTCTGCGTCAAATCAGAGCTACTCTCCTGTAAATCTCCGAAGAGAATGTGCCAAAAAGTAAATGAGTATCAGCTGTGCTTCTCCTGCGGACGGGGAGACACACACACAATATTAAATAGAGGATTTGTGCTCGGATTTAATACACTGTCTGCCAGCGTTCCGAGCACACCGAGACACCGACTCCAGATTTTGTTGGAAGGTTTTCCAAGTGGAAACATGATACTTTCACTTACTGCATTTCATTTAAATCTTGCAGAATACAAACAAATACCGGCTTAATTATGAAGATTCAGCATTCAACATATACAAGATCACAGAACCTTCTCTCAGGTAAGCTCATGTGTCTCACCAGAACCTGTTGCGAGGAGCTGAGAAAACAGCATCAGGCTTAAGAAAAGGCTATACCTGTATGTAATTACAAGCAGGCATTAAATTAAGAGCTACTGTACTTTTTTGGCTGCCACTACCTACTATTCTTTGGTTTATATGCACAGTTCTTGACACAAAATAGTCAATGAAAGTATTTTCCAAAGATCTAAGGAATTTATAAATATTGCAATTGTGCTACTAACAGATTCCGCGGGGCACAGGGAGACAGGAGTGATGGATCTCAGCAAACAGGGGGGAGACTTACCACCTCACTCTTTGGGATTCTTTGGAAATAATTCTGCTCCTCCAGCCGCTGCCCCTCTAACCCCTCTCCCCCCAGTCTCTGCAGTTACTTCACTGAGCTTCCCACTTCTGACTTCATCTTGTTTTCCCAAAAATTGCCGGGGAGGGGAAGGGCAGCGCCAACGCGCTGACCAGAGTCCACCAGAGCCAGTGATAATTAGCTGCTGATTTCATCAGCCTTTGGTCTCAGAAATGCAGCATTTTCCAGAAAGTGTTTGAAAACACTTTCTATTAATTATATAGTAAAATGATGTAATTTAGTAAAATGATGTAATTTAATAGTATTATTTACACTGTAGACTTTGACAGAATTTTTTTTTCACAACACGAACTTGTGAAGAGGCTCTTTGATTCTCTCTGAATTTTGCCTGAATTCAAAGCACATTCAAATAATAACAACAATAATTAGCATTCAGCTTTTACTACAGGCACAGGTTTCCTACCAGCTCCCCACTTGGGATAAACCAGAGCCAAGTGTGAAGCCATGTGGGCACCCACTGCTTTGGGCAGCTGCTGGTCGTGCTGAGCCCATCAGGGGCTCGCAGGGATGCTCTACTGTTATCATAAGGCTATATAATATATATACTATATAAATATATATGTATAAATAGCCATATAGATATGGTTATTCTAATTTCTGGCATGCTTCTAACCGTATGGCCTGGACAGCATAACCAAGACACGAAGATACACCCCCATCCCCAAAATTAACCACAAGGGTTGGACTCTTAAAGCTCGACTAAATAAACTACTTGGGAGTCCTGAACCCAAAATCGCTGGGTTTTGAGTGATTTCAGACAAAAGCATCTATTAGCACAGGGGGCACCGGGGAAGGCTGCCCTGCGGAGGGAGGTGTCGGTGCCAAACACAGGTTGTTCTAACAACTCCATCCACCTCCATCCCCCTCCTGGTGGCTCCAGGTCTCCCAAAATGCTCCCAGCTGGGCGTGTGGGGACGGAGGGTGCCCCAGCCTGCTGTGTAATAGTGACAGAGGTGAGGCCAGGCTGTAGGTTCTTGCCCTCTTATGCCTCCCCCCCAGCCCATCTGGCCAGTCCCCCCCACAGGCCAGCTCTCCCCTGGGGTTTGCCCATGGGGAAGCTCATCAGGACCACGAAGGTGTTTCCCACAGCCTGGTTTGTGTCTGCAGCCACAGCCCATCTGCAGGGACAGCACCTTTGGATACACTCCCTCCCTAAATGGTCGGTTCCAGTTCCCATAACACAGCTGTTTTTGCAGCACATTGTGCAGGAGCACACCTAACAACCAAGAGCTGTGTTTTGCCCTTGTTAATTAAGGCCCAAGTTAACAGCATCATCAACACGGCTCCTTCTCCACAGCCCAAGGACAGCTCCGACACCGCGGCTTTGGCCGCCGCGATCCCTTGTGAAATGGCATTTCTTGCCCAAAAGGCTGCTGCCTGAACACAAGCCACAGATTTATTTCCGCTGCCATCCACCTATCTGTCCAGTTATCTTCTTTTGTTTCATATGTTTAATTTTAAACCTAATGTCAAAACTCTGAGCATAAAATGAAATACATTTTGTTTAAAATACTCTGGGCAATTTTTATAGAACATCCTTTTGAAAAAAAAAAAAAGTGCAGAGATCAATTTTTTTAAGTCCATCCCGCAGGCACCATCATTTAATTATGAGTGAGACATAAATTATGCATTTACACATTGTTGCATTTTCTATAAAATGGTGTGGAGATTTTTTTTTGTAGTTTTTGGAACTCTCTCTTTCTTCCCGGGGGCACTTTGGAGGAAAAAAAAACCTGCTGCAGGCTATACATTGATGAAAAAATTAGCATTTATCAGTATAACACCATTATGAGACCAGCATGGCACTAACATACACAAAATCTAAATCTATTTTTCTGCTTAGACTTAGGAAAACCTGAAAGGCTGTGATCTCACCAGGCAGAAAATGTCTCCTTGCAGTATAAGCACTGAAGGTAATTGGGCAGAAGCAAATAATTTGCATATAATTGAACCAGAAATAATAAAAAAAAAACGAAAACCAAAACGCCCCAGCAAATAGATGAGCCAGCAGCAGTGAAAGGCCATTACCTGCACGGAGTTCAACCGGCAGTATCCGTTCAAGGGAAACCTGATGACGTGGGTCGGGTCCTGGTTCCAGCCGGCGTTCACGGAGTTGCACATGACGTCCCCGGTCTCCGGGAAGATCTCCTCTATCAAAGCCTTCTCCCCGCTCAGCGCGATTCTCTCCCCCAGATCTGGAGTCACTCTTACCACCAAGCAGTCACAAGGCTGGAAATGTTTCCTTTGTTCTTTCTCTTGTTTCCATCGCTCCAGTTCCTTAATCATTGGCTGCAGCTGGTAATACTTTGCTTCTTCATATAAAAGATTAAAGTCCTGGGAAAAGAAAAAAAAAGAGAGAGGGAGAGAGAGAAACTAGAAATGCTTATAATTCTCTTTTAAAAACTAGTATTGTTCCTGTTTGACCTACTTAGGCTTCTGTACTGTCAGCAAGAGCGCAAAGGCAACAGGTATCCACATACTTTGTCCTGGTCTTACACCTACACTCAAAACCACGCCGGGTTGAATCTCTTTGCGCTGACCATGAGGTTCCCACTGCACTGAATTACTCTTTCATTTATTATCCCACAAGCTCAACGCCAGAAGGCTTTACTTTTGGATTAAGAAATCAAAATAACTGGTTGCAATAAGCGAAGCCTGCTGATGTAAGAGGAGAGAGATGTCCCGAGCCCTAATCTCCACTCTTGGCCTCAGACACTGGCTCCTGATCTCGCAGCGGGAGATGCTGGGCTTTGCTGTCACCTCTCACACATGGTACGAGACGGAGATGTCAGTTCAGCTTCGCCTCTCGCCCGTCTCTGCTGACTGTGAAATTCAGCTGCAGCAGCTCAGCTGCTCCCCACGTTCCATCATTATTCATGGATTTAAAGTGCACTTTGGAGCCTGGTAAATTATAGGGAGGTAGTGACCGTCCCGCTGGCGGGGGGCTCACACGCGTGCTCCAACAACTTAAAAAAGAAACAGTTCTTCCCAGCCATCAGTCCATCATCTCTCTTGAGCTTTGGGCAACTGAAATTCCCAGTTTGAGCCAATTCCCAGCTCATGGATTGAGATGTCTTCTGCGCATCCTCATGAAGAACTTCTCATCACATTTCCAACAGATCTTCCCACCTTGGCTAAAATGCATGAGAGTATGTTGAGGCCAAGGGTGTCAGCAGCCCCCAGACCCGAGGAGGCACCACTGCTCCCCAAGACCAAGCCAAGAGAGGAGGAAGCACCCAGGGATGCCTTGCTTACACCAGTTCCACCACCTCGTTCGGCCTCCTGGAAGGAAAAGGAGCAAGGAGAGCATGGCATCAGCTCCTCTTGCCAGAGACCTGCTGTTTGTGTTCCTGGCTCTTACACCTCTTTACAGGTGGAGATGCCCCAGGGACGTGACTTTGGTGGAGTGTGTGGTGGGTCAACACCCGGACAGAAAGGCCAGTTCTCCACCACCACAGTGAAATGAGATGAAAAATCATGAGAGTGGAATGACTGGGATCACTTAGGCTGGAAAGAAGGGCAGGGCAAGAAGTAATCAAGAAACAGGCCCCAAAATTACATGAGAAATAAATAACGGCAGTGCTGCTGCGCCAGGACTGGGGGGAGAGGGGGATCAGAGGGCAGTGAGTGTGCAGCACAAAAATGTGCGACTCTTCATAGCGGCTCAGAATTAACCTGTAAAATCTGCTGCTGCAGGATATTATTGAGCCAAATCAGTTAGCTGTGCTCTCGTTTGGCACCGCTGGTAGCAGAGAGGTGCTCCTTCACCCCAGGGCTGCCTGCAGCCCCGAGGTGCATGAATATTCACAGTGACACCGGCAAGGTTATCGCTTACAAAAGGGACATCCGATCCTTTACATCCCTTTGATGTCTGTGAAGGCTGGGACAATATGCGCACCACTAAAGGAGGAAAAAAGGACCAGAAAGAGAGAAAAGGGTGATAAGAGCAAGTGAGAAGAAAGGAGGGCAACAAACAGGCTCACTGGAAGGAAATAGATGCAAACAGGAAAATTAAAGAAGCCTCGTCCCTGGATGAAAGGTATTTCCCCCCCTCCCCAAAATCAGCGCCCAGCTGAATGATTACTGCTGCTCCCTGCCCACCAGTGAAGCTCCTGGTTACTGAGCATGGGACTGGTTTAAACCTGGGGGGATTAGTGGCCTAAATGAGAAAACAACCCGTCCCAAACTTTCTGAAATCTTCCTCCTGTGGTACACCGGAGCAAGACAGGGTACCGCTTAACTGCGGTTATCAGAGGGGTGTGTGGGGATATCAAATGTTCACTGGGCACCTACTGCTCCCATCTATCTCTCTTTAGAGCAAAGGAAACTGTGCAATGCCTAGGAAAGCTGTAGTGTAACGCTGTGGAGTGAACAGGAGCATCCAGCGCCTACCAAAGTGATGGGAAGTCTCCTGCTGTTTTCAATAGGTCCTGAAAAACCAGTTTTAGAATATCTGTGTTCCTGGTCACTGCAAAATAACCTATTATTTGTGAGGTCAATCAATTGAGTATGTGCTAAGAAAACTCAACAGTAAAACCCAGAAGAGAGGGCAGAGCCATATAAAGCCCAGTGCTTCATCCTGAAGGCGGGGAGGAGCAGAGCTCCTGAGGCTGGGTGCAAAGCCCACCACAGTCCTGAGAGCCTCCTCGGCTCCTTTTGCTGGGCTTTGGACTTGGCTGACAGGGTCCTGAATCAGGGCAGTTCACAGCCCAGCACCCCCAGGCCAAAAGAGTAATGCCTTAGAGGGAACACCACCAGGATGGCACCACTGATAGCACTCTGATATCATCTTGTGGTGAGAAAACCAGTTTCAGAGGGAACAGCTCTCCCACCGCAGTGGGAGGCACCCAGTCCTAAGCCTGGGTTAAGCCAAGGTGCCTGGACCATTTTTAAAGTAAGACTCTCATCTCCATGCCAGTTCCACACCGGGGCTGAGCCTGAATATGCTGGGCAGGGTTTAGCAGCTGGGGGAAGGGGTTTGTAAGAGAAGCTGGGGATCTGAGATGTTCTGGTGCAAAGAGGCAACGTGTTTGTGCGGCGTGAGGGAGCCTGGGCACTGCCTGCCACCAGGCAGAGGTGATAAAGGGAGGTTTTTACACTGTAATAATTAGAGGGGAGAAAGAAGTGTCTTCTGCTAGGAACGGCAAGAGGGAATTCACAGCTGTCCACCGGTGACAGTGCTGGGAAGAGACACCTTCCCTGACTACAGGCTGCCCCAGAGCAGCCACCTCCAGCCCAGCCTGGCTCCTCCAAGGAGAACCTGGCACTTCCACAGGGGCTGGGCCACCACCACAGAATGTGACAGTGTATTTAGGGAGGGAAGAGACCCTTGTGAAACCAGGAAGAAAGAATAAATGGCTCATGGCATGGGAGTCCAGTTCTCCCAGGGTCGCTGAATGGCTGGGTGGTGAATGTGATGGACTTGACACACCATGAAATACACAATCTTCTCGTTCAGGTTTTATACACCGTTCCAAGTGAAGCTGTGACCCCCCTGGAAGTGACGCCCAGCTCTGGACTGTCTACACAGGATGCTCAGGATGCCCAGGTAACACTGACAGAGGTATTTCCACCCTTGCACTGTTGATGTAAAATCCTACCCCGATGATTTGCAAAAATTTAACATGAAATGTCAAGTAGAAGAATTTGACTCAGAAGGGCCAGTAAAGCCCTGCTAAATACTGGCACAGACAGCCCCCAGACACCCTCAAACCGTGCCTCCTGTGAACCTGATGCTGGTCTCCCAGTACTACAAGGGTCCTCTGTTGTTCTACCTAATGCTGACTCCTGAACAGGCTAAAACAGCTCTTTCTGCCCAATTTTTATTTGTTATTGTTTACATGTCATCCTGACTCAAGGTTTCTTTTGTATTTTAGTGCTGTGAAGATCTGACACCTGGCTGCGAGAGACAGTCGCTCACTTCTAGGACAACCAGGCTCTTTGCTAAGGTCAGTACGAAAGCACTTGAAATTAGATGCACTCATTTTAAAACGATGTTAATAAATTAGCGTGCCAGCCCTGTGGTTTTGGTGCGGGGGTGACCTCTAGAATGGATATAAAACTCATGATGTCCTGTGCGTTTGTGCTCCTCCCCTCCTTGAGCCAGAGTAATAACACACATGTTGGCCATGTCTATTTTTGTTTGAAGAGCTCTAAGCAGGGAGTGGGTCCCAAAGAAGCAGGTACGATGGGTCTGGGTTTTGCATGAAGTTATGCACGGCCAGGCTGCTCGCCATGGGCTGGCAGCGGAGGAGAACCCAGCCAAACAGTAATTTCTCAGCATACTTCATGTGGCTTCAAATCCCCCAAACCCAGGAAAATTATGTGAACTATTAGAGTGTTGCTTTCAGCAGGGAGACCTGTCAGTTACCGAACGCTTTCAAGTTCTGGCTTATTAGGAGTTGGAAGCGTAATTAATATTCACTGTAAACACACCAGTCAGACTTGATAATACAGAATCACTAGCCTAGGAACACATACCCCACTTTCTCTGCGTTTCGGTGTTAACTTAGTCTGAAAACAACACTTAAATAGCAAACACAATAACGCTGGTGCGGTACTAACATTCCAAACTTTCCAAAATAACCATCTGAGCAGCAATTCAAGTTGAAAAGCAACTTGGCTAAACCTTGAGGCTAATAAACTGCTTGATTAAATTAAGGGGTAAAACCTAATAAATATTCAAAACACTTGATAATGCTTTGTTTGACATAAAGAACATTTAATGCAAGTCTCACTGGAAAACCTGTCAGGTTTTATACCTTAAATAGAGTTTTGCATTTAGAAACACTGAGTGATTCCATTTGCTGCCTTTGATTATTGTCTTCTGTCACTTTAATCATGCTGGTAAAATTACACGATTTCTGTGAAGTCAAATCCGTTTACAATGCAGTTTTAATATAGCTTTGCAGCGCATTCTTCTATGCATTTTTATTTAGTTACTCCCTACCTAGCAATACTTTGCTTTGTTCTCGAGCCCTCATTAGCCTGGGGTTTGCTCTAAAGCTCTCCCAGGGAGGAACTAAATAAAAGACAGTTAACCCTATGCAAAGAGAAGGTCTGGAACAACGGACTGTGCCCGGGCACAGCGCCGGCTCTCCCGCGTCTCTCCCAGCCCTGCCAGCGGCTCGCTGCGCAGACAAGTCCTTGGCATCCACCGGCGCTCTCACCTCCAGGCTCTTACCAAATCCTGCTGGTTTTGTTCCACAGCACCTCTGAAAGCTGGATGAGGGTCAAGGCCACCATCGGCTCAAACTACATCTCTTCTGCCCTCGCTTCTCACGCCGCCTTGGCCCACCAGATTGTCCAAAATTCTGCCTCTACAGCATCGCTCTGGCATTTGGCCTCTACCGCTTCTCCGTCCACCCCCCTTGACTTGATCCATCATCTCACAGCCCACAGAACTGGTCTGGGCTTTAGCTTCATGAGGAAAAACTTCTTTCCTGTGAGGGTGGCAGAGCCCTGGAACAGGCTGCCCAGAGAGGGTGTGGAGTCTCCTTCTCTGGAGATATTCCAACCTGGCAGGATGCAGTGTGGAGTCTCCTTCTCTGGAGACTCTCAAACCTGGCAGGATGCGTTCCTGGGTGACCTCTCTGGGTGACCCTGCTCTGGCAGGAGGTTGGACTGGGTGATCTCCAGAGGTCCCTTCCAACCCTGCCCATTCTGAGTGATTCGGTGATTCACTCCTATCTGTGCATTTTCTCTCATTTCTCAGTAAAAAGCTTTTCTCACATCCAGCCTTAGTGCTCTGGTCTCACCCTGCTTCACGGCACCCCGACCTGCAGGCCAGCCTTCCCGATCTGCCCACCGCTCTCCCCACAAAGACTGGTGCTCAGGACACCCCTTCTGGGCCCATGAATGCCAAAACTTCTCCCTGCCTTAGGACTAGACATGTGCTCTGCTGCACAGCATCGTGTCTGCTCAGCATCAACTCCAGACACTCCCATGCCGAGGTAAAATACGATTATACTCGTAACTTAGTCAAGAACGGCCGAGGAGCGGTTTGCAACACCAGGAGAGCTGTCCTGCAAAGCTAAAGCCACCACAGCAACAAATCTGGACTGACTCAGCACTGACCAGCCAAATTATCTGGCCTGCCTAGTCCACCAGGCACAGTGACATCCCACAGCACGGTGTGGGAACCTTCCTCCCCACGCTCCACGTCCTCTAACTCTGAGCACATCCCCCCTTCCATCCCCATCTTATTCATCATTTCATCTCGGAGTTAGTGCTTTTGTTGAATCTTGTCATCTACAGTTTGGACACTTTTGTCTTCTAATTTTCATACACAGGGATGACAATGTTGCAAGTTTCGTAAGTGCGAAGCCAAATAAACAAGGCGAGGAGGAGAGCGTTTAAACAATCGGGGTTTGCAAAGCAGCAACCAGCGCCATGAGTTCATAGAAAACATGTACTGCTCCTTAAAAAGCCCTCAGTAAATTCCATCTCCCGAGAATATTTTGACATTCCTAAATTGTGTAAAAGATTACTTCCTGAAATTAAGGTATCTGCATCCATTTTATCTAAAACAAATCCCCATGGGCTTGTTTAAGGGTGTTCCTTTTTTATACCAGCCAGAAAAGGATTTATACCATTTCAGTCCTCTAAGTAACAAATTTAAAACATTTCTTTCAGATTCTGAGCATTAAACCCTGGTAAGTGCTAAATGCTGATGTTACTTCTTAATTGTTGTTATACCCTGATAAAAAAGCTAAAAATGTGAGAAAATACAATTAGTTTAGAAAAACTGATTTAGCCGTAAGCTTCATCGTTTAACTTTTTATGGTATCCATGACAACCATTGGTCCATTTATTAAATAATAGCATCCCTGGTGCAATACACAAGTACTAAAAACCCTAACAATAAACAGCAATGTTTAGTTAAGTGTGTTTAGGCCACGCACACAAACCAACCCGCGCCAAAACAAATGACGGAAGGGGAGGGAAAAATGGATTGCAGACTATAGCTTTCCTTACCTTAAAGTCATCTGGGAGCAGTAGCTTAGATGTCCTTAGGAAGCTTAATATATATCTGAAAATTTCACCATCTCGATCAATGAAATAGTGTTGTTTTAAACTGTCCAAGACAATGGGCTCTGTGCCATTAAACAGACGACTTATTCTGAAAAAAAAAAAGAAAAGAAAAAGAAATGGGCAAAAAGAAACAAAACCTCATTACACCCAGAACATCCAGCCAATTTGGGTGCATCACTTCGATGTGCATAAGGTAACGCAGTATCTTCATCTGGTGGCAAACAGGTACTGGAAGGTAGATGGTTTGGACACGTGTGTGCACCGGCACGTTCATGCACACACAGGGACAGAATCAGACCCACAACCCGACAAGGGACATGCCTATGAAACCCTCACCCTGCAGCTGGAAGAGTAATTTTGGTGAGAGTACGCGTCATCGGCTCCGTTACACATCCCCGTGCCCCTGGTCCTGCACGGAGAACCCAACGGTTACTCGGAGGTGGGTTCCTGACCATGACCTTCTCCTCCAGCATGGCTGTCATCCTGATCAAACACCACCGAAGCCTTTCCGTGCTGGAGGAGAGTCTGCCCACACGTCGAGATGAGCTGTACGGACCTGTCAGTGCTGGGCAAGTGGCAAACCAAGGCTGAATTCTTGGCAAACCAGCAACCAACGGCCCGTGGAGCATCTGCAGCGCTGCCTGTGGGACCGCAGTCCCACCACCAGCAGTCCTGGGGATCAGTCTGGCAGAAGCAAGCAACGTGGCAAATCTTCCAAGAGCCAAGAAAAGGAAGTGAGACCTACGAGACCAGGCTATCAGCAGGTTACCAGGCCAAAATGCCGCCTCAGCTCCACCACTCTCAGCTTTCTCCATGTCCTGAGGAGCACGCTCTGCAGAAAGCCAAGCAGGCATCTGCCCGGCTGCTGCTCCTCCCGCCTCTCCCCGCCGAACGCCTGGCTTCTCTCACAACGCTTTGTCTCCCCATGAGAAATAACCCAGCTGAATATATGTTCTTGAAAGGAAAATCGCAGGAGACAGACAGCGACGACCTATTAAGTAATTGAGTCCATCTCTCTGACAGCGCAGCATTGTTCCCAACTGCGGAGTGGCTCGTGTTTCAAAGCCGGGTCTTAAATAACCCTGCCAGGGAGGGCTCCTCCATTTCCCAGAGAGACTGCCCCGCGGCCTGCGGGATGGCACTGCCCGGCCATCCCTTCCGCCCCGCGCTGCCTTTCCCCGCTGTCCCTGGCCAGCACCAGGGCAGGGCTTTCCCCTGCCCCACAGCCAAGGAGCTCACCAAAGGCCCTGCCGGGGAGCGCCGAGGCCTCCCTGCCTCCAGCCTCCCTGCCTCCAGCCTCCCCGGCCTGGCCCAGGCCCTCCGGCCCGGCAGCACAGGCGAGAGGCCACAGCCTGGCCAGGGATGGTGGTGGGACAGGGCAGGATTGACCCCAGCTGTGTCCCACACCGCTCACCTGCCAGGTTCTTCTCTCCACAGCTGCACCTGATCTCCTGGCTTGCTAATTTAGTTGCAGATTTAATTAACGTGCCGTTTATTTCTAAATTAACGGCGGAGATATTAAATAAAACTGGACTTCGCAAGCCCCCGCGGAGTCCAGCTGAAAAGCTTTCTGCCCTCTTAAGCAAGCCCCAGGTTCTCCTGCCTGCTCCCGTGCCCATGCACTCAGCTTGTAGAGTGACTTACCAGAATAACCAAATGCTCCCCTGAACCCTAATTATAATCAGTTTACTGTTTTTCTTCAACCTCTAGCTTTTCATCGGTATCAGAAAACACCATCCAGTTCATGCAGCAACATTTAATTTATATAATCCCAAGGTTCGGTAAGCCTCCAGTAATTCATTATTTCCTTTTTTGTTTATTTTAGGGCTATTTGCCTGAGACAGTTAAATATATTGCTTTGTGCCGTGTTAAATTTTATTCCAGGAACCAGACAGTTAATTTACTTCCTTAGACATGCACAGGAGCCAGTGTGCTGTGCTGGGTTAGACCCAAAGGAGAGGACAACACCGACCAAGCAGCTAAGTGCGGTGCATTTACCGAGTAAATCTGTGTGGCTGCTGGAAGTTTTGGGATCTCACCCCAAAAGGAGCTGGGCTGTGGCATAAACCTCCTCCTCTTTGCTGCCCTTTCCCTGTGAAGCCTGAAAATGGAGGTGAAGGCAGCTGCGGGGCTTTACCGTGCGCAGGGGGGAAAGTTTGCCAACAGTGCCAGGGCACAGGGAAGAGAGAGGGTACAAGGTTTTAATGGGCTGCTCTTTAACGTAGTGAAGCATTTTTTTGGTAATGAAAACAAAACATGAATTTTGAGGCCTTTGTGGAGTGCCCTGAGCTGTATTTCTTCACCAGCAAAATTACTGCTGGGGAAAGAAACTTGCAGAGTGTTGAAAGACTTAACTGCCACCCCAAAAACAGAGTGATGAATAGTTTAAGGATTTATTTGACGTTTTAGGGGGCTGCGATGTTCCAAGAACCAACTTCCCTGCAGCCTGCTGTAATGCTGGGTGCGGAAAGTCCTCCTGCTTCTCCCCGCTAAAACCCCTACCTGTAGGAAGTCCATCCGAAAAGCAACGCTGTGAGAGCACAAAGAGAACTCAGGCGGCAGCTTCCAAAGGAAAATGCACCTGATGGGGTGACTCGTCATGTGTTAAGCCATGGAAAAGAGCAGGGTGACTGGGGGCAGCTCCACGAACCCCACCGGGATGGGATTTGCTCTGTGGAGGGGTCTTGGGTGGCCAGAATGAAGAAGCATGGAAGAAAATGCACACAGGCTGTCAGAGAGGCGGCAAGTCAGCGAGTGCAAGGGGATGGGAATGGTTTTACACTGTGTGAACTTGATGTTCCACCAGAAATGGGGTACTGGTCGGGCTGGTGGCCTCAGGGAGCTGCTCCCTCCAGCGCCCTGCCGTGTGGTGAGAGTTAAAGCCGTGGGGAGTCAGTGCAGGCTCAGATTGGGCAGCTGTCACCCCAAAGTGGTGGGTTTTATGATGGTGGACAAGCTGGGTGATGGTGTTTTCAGGAGGCACTCGCTTATGGTGGGGGGGAATGGTGCTTCCAGTGATGTTTGTGAGGAAGTGGAAGGTTCCAGAAAACAGAGCCGAGGTAAAAAAGCCACACTTGGATCCCACAGCGATGGGTGAGTCTGAGCAATGAACGCTTCTTCAGCATCCCCACCTTCTGCAAGAGGTGCTGCACTTCCTAATTTAAAAACACTCCTAAAATTTCCGTTCAGGGCTTAATTTCCAGGCAGGGAGCAGACCGGGCATGGATCAGTCCAGGGAGCTGCAAGGATGGCAACCTTGCCTTTCCATTGCCACCAGGTTCCACTACGCTCACACCACCTTCCCAGCACGGCTCTTCCCAGCCCTCCAGGTCTCCTCCTCCCCTGCTCCTGCCCTCCTGGCAATGGCCCTGCTCCCGGCCACCACCATGTTGTGTCCCTGCGGAGCAGAGGCCACCACGGGGATGGTGTCCAGCCTCCAGCTGAGCGGGTCTCACCGGCACCTCCAGCCCCAGCTGGATGCTCTTCCCTGCTTCTCCCAACACCCAGAGCACAACCTGTTGATCCTATTTTCTACAATTTCTTTGTGCTTCTGTTGTTTCTGCTGAAGGCTTTTACATTTTCAATAATGTTTCGCCAAAATGCCAAGGGGCGAGTTTCTAGCTTTGTACCGATTTTACTATGATATTAAGATCTCCTTTTATTAGATTAAAAACAAACAACACAGCCAGCCAACCCACAAGGACAGGGGCGCCAGTAAATTCTTTTCTTAGCTTCTTGGGCAGGGAGGAAGCTGTGTACAAGGACCTACAGACGGCTGCTGGTACCCACACCCCTCCACCAGAACTTCCAAGCAGTTTTTCTACCCGTTGGGCGGGCGTTCAACGGCACTTTGGGACAGTTTTTGGGGTGGTGGCGGGGGTTGCTTTCTGGTTTAAGGCCAGTTTAGCCATTTTCAAGACAGCTCTCTATTTCAACAGGAAACTGAAGGTCTTTCGTAATCACCCTGGTTCCAGAGGCTCCAGAGGAGCACCAGCAGAGCCCTCCACTCCCAAGTCCCACCACTGGGGAGGCTGCTGGGGTCCCGTCCCCACCCCGACATCCACCCAGACAGCCCAGCAACACCGCGTAAGTAAAACTCTCTATCACAACATTGCACTAAAAGTATTAATTTAAGTAATTACATGATTAATATTTAACCGTTCAGTGGTATTTTTTTGTCATTCATAATTTAGTTGTTTACAGTTATTAAAAATTGATTCTGTAGACACTCTTTCTGCCCAATGTCAAATCAGCAGGGAGCACACACATTTCAGCAAACTGTCATTAAAAGGCGTCTCTTCCCTGACTTTCATGGGAGGAGAGGGGAAGAGGAGAGAAATGCCCGTCTGGGGGTCCTGCAAGATTGGGGGGGTCTGTGCTCCCCTCGATGCCCTTGGCTCTACCTGCCACCCCTCCTGCTCCGCGCCGCCAAGCCCACGCGGGCTGTGTTCTGTAGGCAGTGGGGTCAGTAGTGTTTGGCTGTCGGGCCTTGCTGTGGAGCTGGAGGAGGTGGTGGTGGTTGTGGGAAACACTGCAGGGAGGAGGAAGAGGGTTGTTTTGGGCTGGGACACCGAGCATGACCCAAACCTGCCCCCGGGACACATTAGCAACGCATCCCAGGTGTGTGAGCAGAGCCCATGGTGGCTGCCGAGCGCAAACAGTGCTGCTTATCTCTCAAATATTTGCTCAAGGTGGGTAGGGATAGATACTGTTATCTGCTGGGAAGAGAAAAAAATGCTGTGAATTGGAGCAGAGGTGCTGGAGAGACCGGGGCACCTCACGCTGGGTCTGGCACAGCTGGGTCTGCTCTGAGCCTGTCCCTTGTCCCAGCACAAGAAGGTACCTGCTGGGACAGAGGGGCTGGAGCAGCAGCACCCTGCCCAAGCACGCTACATCCCCGCCGCGGCAGCACCGTCTGGGGTGGGCATCTTTTTCATATTTCCATTATTTTTACTGTAAAACCGACTGGGTTTGTGTATAAGTTCCAAGCAAAGCAAACCGTAATGGAGAAAGAACCTGCAGCTGCTTTCCCGAGGGGTGTATGTTAAAAAATCCCAACCCACCTGAGAAGCGAGGAGAGCTGGCCAGGAGAGGACAGGGCTGTCCCAGCTGAGCAGCGAAGGGGTGTCCTCTGCCTCCTGCCCTGATGGCAGTTGTAAGAAAAAGCCATTAAAATGTCATTTCTGCCAGGACAGACGCTCCCTCCCGCCCTGCAGAACCTGGCTAAAGGCTGCATCTGTCTGCAGCAGGATTTCTGAGCTGCCTCCCTTTACAACTTCGGCTATAAGGAACAAGTGCTGGATGGTTATACTGAACCCTCACGCCCTGTTACCCCACTGCTGATTTTAAGCCCTTTTCCCGTTAGAGGAGGCAGCACTAAGGGTCTGTGCACCCCTGGCCTGGCTGCGGGATGGAGCAGGAGCACTGCGCCGCCTTCGCCCTGCGGCTCCACCACGGCTCCCATCCTCATCAAAGATAACATCTTGACCACCTCGGATGGCTGCAGGCCTACGCTTGGCTCGGAGGGTGTTTGAGCTGGGGAGGATTTTGTTGTAAGCATCTTTTAAATCTTTTATTTGTACAGTGATGGGAAAAAGGGTATGTGGAGGAGACTCTGAGTCTTAAACTGGGGGTATAAACTGCTGCTCTGCAAACTCTGAAATCCAAGCAGCCACACGTGCTTTTGGGACTGGTTCACATGCCTGAAGACACACAGAGGTGCCCCCAAGGGGGTTTCTGGCACAGGTAAGCCCAGATCAGGAGCCAGCTTCCAGCCCCAAAGGGAGTTCAGGCATCGAGCCCGCAGCGTTAGCCAGGTCCTGCTCTGCTCAAGCCATCCCAACCACCCACTCCTTCTCCCACTGCTCCTACCAGACCAGGGCAAGCACCAGTGTCTCAGTGGGGCAGCCTGGGACCCCGGCGTCCCACGGGCACTGCCTGGCCCCAGAGAGGCACCGCTCAGCCCCGGACCCTCCAACCCTGATGGCACAAGCAAGCTACCACAGACGGTCAAGGACAGCACTGATCCATGAGAACCAAACGGAGATACTACAGCCTGTGACCCCAAAACTCTCAAGAAAAGAGCATCAAGTTGTACGGTCTGATCTCAGCAGAGGGATGGAGGAGGTAACTCACAAGGTAAGAGCTTTATCCATCTCCCGATTCTGCCTCCCAACTCTGGTCCTACAATGCCATAGGAGGTTTTTGAGCCCTACCCTCACTTTGCAGTGCTTTTGAAGGATATTACACTCATTAACTATTAAGCACCTGAAGGAACTGCAGGATCTATTACCTAGATTTAATACTTCATATTTTGCTATTCAGGCTGGAATATCTATTTTTGCAATAGATCAGAGCTAGTCTATATAATATCAACATGTATTTTTAAAAGTCAATAATCCATAAAGAACATTATCATCTACCATGCAGAATCATTCCTAGGAAGTTCTGCAAGGATTTTTTTTTTCTTCTTTTTATACCATCACTAAAAGGCAAAATTAGATATGTAACGTATTTAAGTCAAAACAAAGGCACAGACATTATGTTTTCAGTTCTGTTACTATCAATTAAACTCCACTGGAGCAACAGGTAATAAAATCCACTGAAATGGAAATTACCTATTATTTTTGAAATACCATAAAGCATTCATGGTAAGGATAAGAGATCCTACAGCTCTCTCTTCTGCCTGTTGCTAACAGCCTATCTCCACACTTCAGACACTTTGGCGGGTGACTTGGATATATAATTTCATGGAGATGTATATGGATTCTTAGATTTTTTGATGCATGATACTTATTTTTCAGTTTGTAGAGACAGTACTGCCTGTACATAAATTAGCAGTTAAGAGAAGAAATTGGAAACACTAATCCCAGGCCAAGAAGCTCACTGTCTTCTCCTGGCTTAAAAAATTCTCTTGGTAGTCAAGAGCCACCCTGGTCCTGCATTTGCGTGGCCAAGCATCCCAGCAGGGAGGAGGAGGAGGAGGAGGAGGAGTGGGTCCAACAATTACAATGAGCAGACCAAGGGAATTAAGGCTCCCAGGAGCATTTCTTTCCAGGCTTTTCATTTCCACTGAGTTTACCAGGGTGTTACCCCTAAGCCCCTCACATCATTGGGATACCGGGACGATGCCCATCAGCACTGGACACTCATCCCAAATTTACCAGCCACGTGTCTGCTCCCCGGGGCCCGGCTCCTGTCACCCGTCCCAGGGGCAGTCGACAGCTCAGGAGCAAAGTGCTGCTCACCACGAGTAATGGTGGCAGAACCCAGCCCTCCGTCAGGCTCCCCATTTTATTTTGCCTTACTAAAGTAGCGTTTGTATATTTTAGTGTGTTATTTTAACAGCTATAAAAAGACTTCGCTAAACAAACAGTTTCTAGTATGTTAATTGCTGCATTATGAATCCTTTCATGGCATTCGGCGTATAACCACATTTACAGGCAGGATAAGCAGACACACACAGACAGAGCCGCGCTCATTCGCTACACACATCAGCATCCCACCACAGTTATTTCAGCCGTCAGTCACAAAATGCATTTGCTGTGCTTAACAAGAAAAAAAAATGTAACTTTCAAATGCAGGTGCAATTTGCATTTCTCCATTAAAAGTTCCAGAAGTTCCCTGTGCGCCACTGTGGTGGCACTGATGTTCACCCTCTGTAGCAGGGGCAGTGACAAACAGCTTCCCATCATTTTTTGATGCTTAATCATACCCTTTGCATCCATTTGGGCTGGCTGTGCTGCTGTGGAGCACCCGTGGCCAGAAGAGAGGCCTGGGCCACGCGGGGCAGATGCAGATGCTGCAGACACTGGGCAGCCCCACACAAGCTGCAGTCGCTGCAGTTCAAGACCGGCCAGTTCTGCCACCCCTGTTCCCAACAGGCAGCAACTACCCGGGGAGAGCGAGCAGGGCAGAGCCTGGCTGACTTGCATATTTTTAATAAAAGTAACCAAATAATATTACAATACGCTATGAACCCTCAAAACGCAGAACTTGTTAGTGGTAGGAGCTAAATATTCAAGTCCAGGTAACTGCAGAGAGAGTCATACGTTGTAGGTAATACCCATCTATTTGGGAATTCCTCTCTTCATTTTAAATTGTGGACTTACATTTGAAGTTAAAGAAGCACACATTAGCTGGATTTCCAATACTATAATTTTTTTCCAGTACAAAGTTCAGGTTACTTTTACTCTTCTTGCGTCTTTTACTTCATTCTAACTGAGCCTTTGTCTAAGTAGTTGCAGATTAAAAATATTAATACAAATTTATGTTGCTAGAAGTATCCTATTTTTATTATGCCATTGTTGCTGCTGCTCTGATTTAAGCCCTGAGAGGGTTCTTGGCCTTTCATGTTTGCTCAACAAAGAATTTAACACTAAGTATTGGCCATGAAAATCAATGCAGGACAAAAATTCTTTAATTTAAAACAAAACCCTAACCTAGCATCTTAGTTTCCCAAAGCATTCCCCAGTTTCCCAAAGGCCCGGATCCTGCAAGAACTGCATTTCAGCTCAAGCTCTGTGGGAGCTGCGGGCACTCTGTGGAATTAAGCTGTTAATACACGAGAAGGTGCACAATTCAAGTAGAACATTCCTGCCTATACAAGCCTTTTCTTGCTGTTCCTTTAACCACCCCTTCTCCCTGCACCGCGGCCAGGGCCCCGGCCAGCACAGGGCTGCTCCAAGTGCCTGCTCCCACTCCGTGTCACTCCAACTGGGACCAGCCCAGGAGCTTCACTAAGATTTTCAACCCTGACTCGTTCCGGACATTACTCCCACTTAACATCACCCTTGTACAACTGGGCACGCTGGGAGGCTGGAAAACATGCAGATACTAGTTTTATTTTAATATAAATGGGCTAAATCCTCGCTCATTGAAGTCAAGAGCGAAACTCCCACTGGGACTCGGTGAAGGCAGGGGAAAATTCCAAATGGCACTCATTTAGCTTTCCGGGTGCGAGTGGGGCCCTCCGCATCCTTTGCATGAGTGGGTGCCCCGAAACCGGCACGTTTCAGGCCGCAGCAGCGGGAGAGGGACGGGCACTGGAGGGCTGCACAGCCTTGTACAGACTCCTCAGGGACAGCCAACGCGCTCGCCTTGGTACCTGCCGCTCACGCAAACAGCTGGAATATTTACGAGCCACAGCCCTTCACGTCTGACCCCAGGCATGCAAAAGCTGAGCGGCTTTTTCCCAAGATTCTTTTCTTTATTTCCAGAAACGAGCTCCCAGACATGGGATGAGCAGGAGCAGTGGGTGACCCTGGCTGCCCACGCCAGCCCCCGCTGCACGGGGACACTCACCCTGCTGCAAACAGGAACAACGACGCCTCTCTGGGCAGGGAAAAACTCACTTTCTGCTTAAAAGAATCTGCCCACACTGCTGGGCTATTGGTTGCTATGTCCATTTGCTAAGCTTTCCAGTTCCTGAGAATGATAATACCAAAAAACAAAGGGCTTATCTTACATTTTTCCTCAATTTGCTTTTCCTGCAGCCCATCCTTCTGTCCTCCAGAGAGTAAAGGGCACTGATTTTGCCCAGTCCCACACACCACCCCTAGAGTGACGCTGCTGGACGCCCCCGGCACCGCTCACACCACGGCTCGCTCCGGCACGAAGACACTGCGGGGAGCTACGGACACACTGCCACTGGTTACAGCTCCCTACAAGCAGGTATGTGACTGGGTTGCATCCAGTTCTCTATCCATATTTTTGTTATCACACTTAAATCGATGAACGAATGATGCTTCTGTTTATTCTTACCTCTGATTAAGCTGTACCCAACGCATTTTTCCTGCCTGTTCACTTAAAGACACTGAACACATCAAGAACCATTCGTTAAAAAGCTATTTTGAAGGGAGAACAGCCACCAAAGCCCTTAAACCCATACCAGGCAGGAAGAATTGTGCAAAAGGCACTAGTTTTTGCTGGTGAGCCCGAGCTGCTGGGCAGAACGGAATTGGAATTTCCAGTAGGTTTTTGTTCCTGCAGCAGGACACGAGCAGGGGCAGGGAGGCAGCAACCCGCTGACACAGCCGCTGGGGAGAGCCCGGCTCCACCACCACATTCCCAAAAAAAGGGGGAGACCCTGGTCCGGGGGCTATGGAGAGGGATCCAGCACTGGGAAGGAGACAGCAGTGCACCTGCTGCACAGAGGACGCTCCCCGTGCAGAATGAGGCTTGGCAAAAACTTGAGAATAATAAGAAAGCCATTAACTGCTGGACCCTGATGAGGTATTGAAAGCTGAACCTGGCTTTTTTATGTGACTGCAAGAGATTCATTCTTAAATACAATACCATGGTCATGGGTTTGATTCTGGGCCCAGTGAAGTCAAGGCCAAAACATCCTTTGATTTAATTGAAAGCAGAAGGAGGCCCCCGCTTTAACCCTCGCGTCTGCAAACAGACTGTAACTGGATGTGAGCAGAAGAGGAAATACGTTTGGAACTGGTTACAAATCCATGCTTGGTTTTTTTTTTCCCCCCCTCTGCAAGATTAAGAAGTGGTCATTGAATTTTTTTCCCTCATTCAACAGCAGTGTTAAGTACCACTGGCCTGAATTCAGCCCTCATTCCCTCCCAGACGACCTCAGCACAAGCAGAGGACCCAGCTCCTCTCTATTGTCATCTTCTGGTTCCCATGGAGTTCCACTGGCCAAAGTTGCCCGTTAAATTGTATGTAAATTTTGCAACAGCAGAATTTAAGCAGCAGTCTCCTGGAAGGCACACCACGGTCCCCAAATGCCAAAGCTGCAGCCTTTGGTGCGAATGGCACCGGTACAACTTGTGGGCACCACACAGCATGACGCCGAAGAGGTGGAAAAGAGTCCCTGGTTTTCATTGTCTGCTTTCTCCAGAGAGAGAGCTTTGTGGCTGCAGAAGCCTCTACCAGATCTAACGGATTACCTGCAGTGCTGGTCACATCTGCACTCCATTAGGAGAGGGGCGTAACGGGAGCCTGCCCTCTGGACTGGGATTCCTGCAGCCTTTCAGCTTTACGGCACAAATCTCAGTTTCCAGCCCTTGCCAACCCATCCCTCCCGAGTCCCACCAACAGCAAGGGTGCAAACGCTGCACAGCAGCTTCCCGCCAGCCACGCACAGGGCTCCTTGCAGGTTTTGCTTTACGTGGTTCCTCAGCAGATGAAAAAGCTGCAATTTTAGCCTTTGAAGGCCATCCCGCCTGGCAGGGCTTCAAGGGAGAGCAAATCCGGCAAAAACAAAAAACCAAACCCCTCTGAAATGTTGATGGGAGTCATTTCTTTTTTAAGCATCAAAAGGCTGAGGTTCATGCTGATCACAGCCGATGAGGCGATGGAGCAGGCAGTCTGGTGGCCAGAGCACGGAGATAAGAGTTTCTAACTCCAGAGTTACAACCCCAGCTCTGCAGCCTCTCCCAGTTACGGAACTGGGTGAGGAGAGCCCCTGTGACTGTCTCGGTGGAGTTACACCAGGGATGAGAGTGACTGACAGCACTGACCTGTGCCAGCCACCAGACTGTGTGTTTCATGTCAGCACAGCACTAGGGACACACTGCAAGGACTAGGTGTACTCCTCAATTTATGACATTCCATCCAACAGAGAAAGCTGGCAGTGGCCACGTGGCCAGCAGCAGCACGGGCCACCAGCCCTGTCTCCCCCAGCCCCGCATCCTCCAACAGCCCCTCCTTACTCTGTGCTCCAGAAATCCAGCCTCCCTCGTGCTTTCACACACAAATCCCATGTTTGCGTGCCTGCAGTTTTCTTCTATTTAAATATGCACTTTGTTCTTAAAGATTTTATTAACCCATGAATAGATTAATTCTGATTTCAGTTATACAGGTACAAATTTGGAGAAACTCCTCCAAAGCCAGCGGAGTCATCTCTTTGGGAAGGCTGCCTGAGCAGGAAAGGTATGTGCACGATGCTTTGTCTTCATTTGCCCGTTGGTTTTACACTTCCAGGTATTTCTGAGACCGAGTACATTGGATGCCCAGCAGAAGCACCTTACAACAACATTCTGGTTCTCATGACTCCTCTCCACACATCAAACCAGCATCCATCCCTGGTGTAACTCCCCAGGGCTCATCAGGGTTATGCTAGGGATTATTTTGGCCAGGTTTATCATTAGGGACAGTTTTCTAGAAGAATAGGGCTTATTTTGTTTCCATTTAAGCTTACGGTAAAACTCTCATTGACTTAGTGGGAAGAGCGATTTGGCCCAACCACCCAATATCCAAACTACCTCCATGTATTTCAGTGGAAGCAGGCAAGGAATTAATAAGGTCCAATGTATTTTTAAATCTTAGATTTCATAAATGATCACAAGCATGTAGGTCACAATATATACACAGAACGACACCTACGACAACCACCAGTGGGATCATTAAAATAATTAAGTTAGGCCTAGAGACAAATTCATTTCATAACATGTTCCTTACAAAACAGATACCCCCTTGCTTCATAATCCAGGGAGTCTGTTTTATAAACTTCCTAAGTAGTTCATGAAATATCCCCCTAAGCAGACCAAGCCAACTTGCCATCGCAGGGTCTTTATAAATCAGAAGGCAAACGCCAGTGACGTGGATTCAAAGACCAGCTGTGAAGAGGTAACACCTCCTCTGCCCCACTGGTCCCGGTGCTTTGCCGTGACCTCAGGACACGATTTCCAGTACAAAGCTACCCAATCCACCTCTTTACACAACTCCTTTCCTCGCGACGAGGGATCTGGGTGCACAGCACATGAAGGAGCCATCAATAAAGGGATTCCCCTTTGCTCTCAGCGTAAACCCCAGCACAGGGGCTGTACTTCACCCCACGCTCACCAGCAGGAACTGCCTCCCCCAGCAGCACGTGGAAGGAGGAGACAGGCTGATTCCACAGCATCCCACAGGAGTGGTTTCTCAAAAGATGATGCTCATGCTTTTCATGCTACCGCCCCAAAAATGACTGCTGAAAAAATACTGAAATTGTGCCGCTGGCACCATGGTGCCCTGTCAGGTGAGTGGTAAGCAAAAGCAGCAATGAAAGAAATGGCAAAGTACGTGACCAACTCACCTCAGAAACTGCTATAAATAGAGAGTGCTAAATAAAATTTAAAAGAAAAAAAAAAAAAGCTGAATTTTTGGTCTCCTTGTCTGCTGGCCTTCTCTTTCTGACTTTTAATAAGGCTAGTTTTCAACCTGCTGTGAGCAAGAGGGGTGGGCATTACTGATGTGCGAAGTCTAACTCAGCTCTACTCGTGTTATCGTTGCAGAGAAAGAAAGGGAAGTGCAGAAAACAAGAGGAGGTCGGCTGGGATCTGCATCGAAGGTACCGGAGACACGGGTCAATGTTCACCTTCTGGATGGCTGTAAGTGACACCCCTCCTGACCACAGCCAGGCTACACGGAGATGCCTGCTCTCCCCTTTGACCAGCTGAGCCCAATAAGCTCCTATCTGGATAGGAATGTGCAATTTTCTCAAATTCAGGTTTTTGAACGGCCTGTGCCAGACACAGCACTACAGCCATAATTTTACCTCTGTAGGTCAGAGGAGTGTCGATTTGCTGTCTCCTCTCCATCACTAGCTGGTGTGCCCCTCCTAGGTGCCATAATACCCTTTATGCCTAGAACTACACACAACCCAGGCTGCAAATGTATACAGAGAAACAGCCGTTTCCAAAGAACTGTCCATCAGAGACTAGCCAGGCAGTATTTTCCTTGTACGTTTCATCAAATATTCCAAGTAAACACACAAATAATTCATTCAGAGGCAGGGCCCCACCTGAGCACCCAATTACAGTCAGCTCTGCACTCCCGAGGGGCAGCCACTGCCTCCCCACAGTCCCCGGCAGCGGTGACCCCCTCCCCTGAGCAGCAAACACCTTCATCACAGCAGACAGCTCAGCTCTGCTGGGGCTCCCAACGTGCCAGTGAGCAGGAGGTCCTGGAGAGGTGGACGCAGACGGGTCTGAAAAATCAGTTTCCCTGTAAATTCCTTCCCTCCCGTCCCCCCCAAGTCACCGGAGTGAAGGGTTGGGGCTACTAGGACTCTTCTCCTTCCCCACCAAAGCTACTGCTCCAGCTGGGCAACCACAGCCCTGGGTAACACGGGGAAATGTGCTGTTACGGTGTCCTTCCCATCTCCAGGACTGAGACAAGGTATCTAACAGCATCTTTCCCAGCTGGCGTTACACCCCTGTTACTAATTTCTGTTATTTTCCACAAAAAATAACAGAATACTGTTGTTTTCCTCTGCCTGTGAGGGGAAGCAGCTCCTCACCTCCAGCCCCAGGCTCTGCCCCACTCACTGGAAGCATCCCAGCAGGAACACTGGTCCATCAGCTCATGGGAACCCACGCTTCACACCTTCCCCTGGGCTCATCGGAGCACGGCACGGCCTTGTGGGACCTCAGCCACGCAGCACCCCACAAAACAGCTCATTTTACACCCCCTGATCCAGCAGCCTGGCAATGGCAGCTCCTGCCCTCGCTCCAGCTCCCACTCGGTAAGTGATACATCCACAGGCAGACTGGGGGGAGACAGAGGGTGGGAAGGGGAAAGGTGCTTTTTAAGGGTTTTTTTTCCTTAAGGGTTCTGCTGGTCAAAATTCCCTTGGAAACCAACGAGAGGTTTGCCCAGTCAATAAACAAGTAAGAAAAACTGAAAAGATTTATCTCTAAATTGCAGGTGCATGAAATGAAACTGAACGTGATTTTAATCTCTGCGAAAATTCTTATGTTAATTCAGAAAAAGGCACTGCATATACCCAAAACCTCTGGGTTTTGGCTCTTGCTCTCATGTGCAGCACACACCTGATGGCCTTGGCCAGGGGCAGAGCTGTGGGGAGCCCCGGCAGGCTCCCCCCCGTCCCCAGAGCTGCCAGGCTGGCGTGCAGCATGCCCACAGCCTGCATCTCCCAGCATCTGTAACGGGCAGGAAAAACACTTGCTCCTGCCTCCTCAGGTGTTTTGCTTTAAAGTCTGTGTACGGTTTAAGTTCACAATACCCATTAAAATTAATGAGCTTTGCGCCGCAGCTCGCATGCAGGCGCGTTTTGTAGCGCTTTGCCTGAATGTGGGCTGCTGGCCCTGCTCAGGAACTCCTTGTCTTGTGGGTGATGCACAGCCCTCCAGAGCCCCGTGTCACCCCACAGACAGGGTGCTCAGCAGCTGCCCTCAGTGGGAAGAGCAGGATCCTATGAAGGGTGGACTGTGCCATGGCAGTGCGCTTGTCTGTCCCCTTCCCTGGGCTAAAAAGTCATTTAGGAGGCATCCAGAGGGACTGGAGAGGGACAAGAGACTACACAGGTGGTGGGTGGGTGAGCAGCATGGAGAGGTTTGGGAGACACCTAAGTCAGGACGGACACTACCAATGCTGCAGAGGCTGTGCCAACCCAGGAGAGCTGATGCTCCAGAGTGGGATCTGGTGCTTCTGCAGCCATCAACAATCTCCAGTTATGAGCCCTGTCCAAAGCACAGGTCTTGTTTAAGAACTGATTTACACCCTAACCACCAACATGGGGGAAGTGACAGAATTTGTTAATTGGACGTTTTCTTGTAATAATATCAAGATTACATAGATTTGATGGGAAATCAGAAAGTAAGTCACAGTAAGAGTGACATTAGATAGATTCTACAAGAGCAAGATGTAAGAGATGCTCTCAAGTGTGCTAAGTCTGGACAATTATATATCCTAAACACAAATTATATATCCTGAGCACATCTGAATTAAGAATTTCCCTGCTCCCTCCCAAGAAGAAGAGAGCAGGACCCAGCATGGAGCCCTTGGTGTAATGGCTGAGGTGGAGAACCTGCCTTGTAGCTCAGTAAGCGCCGTGTTTGAGTGTATGGAACCACTGTATTACACTACATGGTGTCAGTGACCATGTCCTGTCAGGGACAACAGAGAGGTCCTAAAACTTGGAGAAGAACATTCCCCTGAACTCAGTCCAGCCTGGTGTGTCTGCAGAAGCAGTGGGAGAAGCAGAAGATCTCAGGTGACAGGGCTGAGCTCCAGCCACCAGAGAGATGGAGGTTCTGGAGGAATCAGGAGGGGAATTAAAACTCACAGATAGTTGCAGAGTAGCTAGAATGATAAAGTCACGCTTGGTAACAGAGCTTGGGTGAGGGAGGGTCTATACAAGAAACATTCAGAAGAGAAGATGTGCTTTGGGGGACTCCTTTGTAAATCACCAAAAAAGTCCATGGGTTCTGAGAAAAGTGAGGCAGGGATATGTCTGGAAAACTCTACTATGTCTTGCAAGAGCTAAGGTCACATCGTTAGTTTCTGAAACAGTTCATTAAGCCTGTGCTGGTTTTCTTTGGAGGACAGAGCCTCTAGAGAAGGGGGTGGGAAAGCCCAGGTGCCCCAAGAGCTGAGATCAGGAGGTGCTCTGTGGCTCAGCACACCTTGGGCCAGGGGGGCAAAAAGCTCCCTTTTCCTGAAGAGGTAAGAAAACCACCAGAAATACTCAAGAACAGCGGCTTAGGGTACCCTGACAGAGGAAAGGCTGGGAGCAGAGAGGTCTGGTCTGACAGGTCCTGAGCTACAAAGTGTTGGGGGGCAGCTCTGTGCACCCCCACCATTCCCACCTAGACATCACCACTTCAATTAGAATGATTTCTGCTCGCTTTTGTCACGACTGACGCCACGGAAAGCGTGACCTTTTGTAAACACATTTTGAATAGAAGAACATAGGTACCTTTAATAGAGGGCTGTACAACAAATATTAATTAGCCAAGAATGTAAGGTAAATATATTTACCTTTTATAGCAGAACAACTCGCAAAGCGCTCACAGCAATTCCCTGAGCTAAAAACACTATTCAGGGCTGTGAAAAGATGAAAAATCTGGCCTTGCTTTCTAACGGAAATCCAAACCCGTATCAAAACTTCCAGTGAAATCCTGGAGCTGGGGCTTGCTGGGATTTGGAACTTCTCTTCCACTTGAAGTCCATGAGATGTTTGCCACTGACGTGGTGGGGGTGAGATGGGATGATCTGGCTTTGAGTACTCCTGACTGCACGTTCTGGTGTGGGTTTGTTTCTTAAACGTAAGAATTGTCTCGCTCCCTTGGATAAATACAATTTGTGACTCACTTTATAGATGTGCTAGAGCTTTTGCAGCCTTTACAATCTGTCATATAAATCCGTATTCAAGTGTCAATGTGTGAAGGAGCTGCTTTAGAGGTCCTCTGGGTGAAAACATGAATGGAATTTCTAGAGAAAATGGTCTCAAAGATGAACAATTTGTCTATTTAGCCAGTTACTTTAGAAATAAGATGTTGACGGCTTCAATGTTTTTGTTTTTTCTTTTCACCTGTAACTCACAGCTACCAGAGTTGGAAGTTTTGGTGGGAGACCATGCTGAAAATAAACTGCTGAAACTGAGCCTCAGATCCAGGTAAGGCAACACCAGCCTCCTGGTACCTCCAAAGCTTGTTATCTTCAGTGGCAATTTTGGCTATGCACTGAAAGCAGCCTCAAAGAGCTATAGGAAGAGGGATTAATAGTATTATTTCGAGATAAAATTGTGGTCAACAACAGCATAATGATGGCGGTCACAGAAATTTTGTATGTTTCTCATCTTCCCCACCTTTCACCCTCTGAAAGGGCAGTGTGCTTTCCTGGATGGTGTTTCATTCAGAAAGGCAATGGGAAAGGTGTGTAAGAGCAGTGTGTAAGGTGAGCGTGAGTGATTTAGAAACCAGCTCTGACGGTGGCGGTTTAACCCTCTTCTCCACCACACCAGTTGTGCACTGCTCAAGTTTTCTCCTTTTTAGATGAGAGAATTTATGTAGCACATAAAAATTATCTGGAAAGAGGGCGTCTACTCACTTTAACACCTAAACTGGCACCATTTACTTATGCAAATTTAATCAATGGGCAAACGCTCTTCTCACAGCAGCTGCACTAATACAAACAACATCTAAGACCTTGTCAAAGTTGCTCTGAAACAACTCCGGGATCACTGAAATGCGAGATTTGGCCTCCAAATTCACATGACCATCATTGATCCAGGTGAGAAAGCCTTCCAGAACCGGGTCTCTTCCCTCCCTGAGCCAGACCTGGCCCCCCAAGCTGGGAAGAGCCAGAGACAGCCCCCCAAGCTGGGAAGACCCAGAGCTGGCCCCCCAAGCTGAGAAGACCCGGAGCTGCCCCCCAAGCTGGGAAGAGCTGGAGCTGCCCCCCAAGCTGGGAAGAGCCAGCGGAGCACAGCCAATGCTAACGAACGACAAGGAGCACTGTATCCCGCTGCCTGCTGTCAGGTGTAATTTATATCATACCAGAGGGGTGACTGCAGAGCAGGTATAGGCAGGAACTGGTCATACCTATACTTGCTCCTGCTGGGCCTGATCTGGCAAGCTGCTGGGAGCTCTTCCCCTCCCATGGAAGTCAATGTGAACAGAGTTTGTCCAGGACCTAACAGGATTTGGCCTCCTCAAAATACTATGGAAGCATAAACGTGATCCGATGATTTATTTTTGTGTGTTTTCCATCAGCACATGACATCAGTCAGGGTTTGTATACACACAGTACTTACACGCATGTGCACAATCTCTATGTGTCCTTAAACATACATGTGCAGTATCTACTATAAGCTAAAAGCCTCCTTGGGATTTGGGAGCACAGAGGAGGAAAGGGGGGTTGTAACACAAGCAAACAGGAAGTTTATTCCCACAGCTTTCACTTTTAGTGAGTGCAAACTGTATTTTATGTGACTGGAGCTAAGATTTAGCAAAGCGTTTCAGCACGCGCTTACATCTTTCGCTGAAATACAGTCTACAAATTTGTTTGATTTCTTAGATTTTTAAGCTGATGCTCAAAGTGAGAGTTTAATAACGCTGTCCAAAATAATCCAGAAAGCTCCACATGTGGATGGGTATGGCCATACCTCTGTCCATGGCCATGCACACCATCACTGAGCGTAAGCCCAGAGTGCTCTGGCATTATTTCTAGAGGTCTGGCTCAGAAAATCTCTATCCTTCCTCCTACATCTGCAGGAGACCTGGGATTCCTCTCCCAACCAGCCCCCCATGATGACAGTCTGTGCCCATGGAAGATTCACACCGCCAGGAGCTCCAGCCACCCACACGGAATAACGGCAAGTCCTTGCCTTAGCCAGGAACGAGCGCAGGCCCCACTTAGTGGGGAGACCCCAGCAAGGCCACTGGGCAGCACCACAGGACACCAAATTCAGAAAAGAATTTAAAAATGAAAAAATATTGAGGTGTACCCTCCATCCAGCTTCATCATGTGTGCAGCAGTATGTCCTATGTGGGACACGGGTGAAGGGATATCTTTTGCTATAAAACTGTATGTGGTTACTATTAGATCTTTGTGATTTCCAGGTCTGGTCCCCTGAGCTGTTACTGCAGTGGGAAGTGAAGGTCCAGCAGCTGAAGAAGCGTTCAAGCCTGAGATAACACCTCCACACAAACCTAAGGCAACACACAGCCAAACATCGGGCAGCACCTGGGCTCTGGTCAGTCACAAGGTTTGTACTTTTAGTATAAACCAAGTGCAAAACTTGAATAAACGCACTTTTGTTATTTAGCAAACAGAAAAAAAAAGAGAGGGAGGGCTAGATCAGTACTCTGTTCTCTTTAAATAAAATCTGTGAATTTATGTATATTCTCCCAAAGCTTCTGTAACTGAAATTTTTATTAAGTAAGTCTGATATGGGGCATATTTTAAAAATAGTGTCAGCAGTGATATTTTAAAATGTGGAAACAGATGTGCTATTCCATTACAACTGCTGAATCTTCACAGTATTTTTTATACTGTGAAGCATTTGTCTGCTTCTCTGTTATAAACCTCTCCCCACTGAAGAGATTTCCTCTCTCTGATTAAAGAAGTACCACACAGACATCATTAAACAGACACTGTCTAGAAAACTCATATTATTTTGGCCTAGTCATAAAATAGAGGTATTTTAATAATTGTTTCTTTTCCATGGAGAATTTCAGCAGCCCCCTCTCCTTGGAATGAAATCACAGCCATATGCTTTATGACATCAGAGGCGTTTCAAGGTGTCGCTATAAATGTCATTTATTGCTTGGGAACCTGCCAAATCCGAGCAGAAGTCCCTAGTTCTTTCCAATGGAAAATCTTCAATTGCAACTAGAGCTTTATGCTGGTTGTCACACCAAAAAAATAACTCTCTCCCTGTACAGAAATACTGGCCGTGCAGGGAGCAAAAGCTCTGGCAATGGCAGCTGCTGACCTGGGCTCTGGTTTGCTTTTGGGTCCACGTCACGGAGCGTGGGGGGGACCCTGCCACTGCCACCTCCCTTGGGGGACACCGTGGTACCGGCCCCCCGAAAAAGCAGTGCTCTGACTGACAAGAAGCTGAGCTGTTTTAACCATCACAACTGGAAATCAGTATCAGGTACGTTTTAACATAGTGCTCCAACGAATGGGCTTTAACCCTTAAACCCAGGGTCCCCTCCAGAGGCCTGATGCTGCCCAGGGTCCCCCGTCCTTCTCGGTGCCTGCTGCCCCGCGGGGCAGTCACAGAGCCTCTGTCACACACACAAATAGCCTCACGCCACATCTCCTCATCATCTGCCATACCTGTAGCCCACTCTGTGATAACACTGGCCACACAGCCATGTCACCACCCTGGCCAGCACAAGGGCTAGCCTGAAGCACGCAGAGGCTCAGCCCAACCCGTGGCTGCCACCCAGATATCACCCAGATACCACCCAGCCTAGCACTCCGGCTGGCCAACACAAGCATCCATTAGTCCCAGTGTAACAGAGCCCGTCTGCTTTCTTAAGGGAAGAAAAAAAAAGATTTTTTTCCCCTAAACGTGAAGGAAAGAAGTTTCTTGGTGCGGCTGGCAATAATCTAGGGCAGCACACCAACAGGTGCTTCAGACACACCGGCAGAGCGCGGGGGATGTTGAGAGGGAAAATGAATAGACTCCCTAAATAATACATAAATTTTACAGGCTTTCTTTTCTGTCGAACCCCAGTGAAGTTACTGTATAAATCGGAAACTGAATTATTCATAGCCGGCGAATACATAATAAATCGCATTTCGCACTGAAATATTCCTGGCAGGTACTCTTCCCTCTTCCCGGGCAGGGCCTGGGAGCGGCGGGGTCTTACCTGGAGTCGGGGTACTTGGTGAGGGTGGCCAGGCTGCTGGTGTACATGTGTCCTCCTACATCGATGTGCACGGGCGCGTTGGACTTGGTGAGCTGAGCGGGGAGAGGGATCCCTTGAGCGGCCAGAGGAGAAACCGGGGAGCGCGTTAGAGACAGGCGGGACATGCTTCTTCCCTCCTGCAAAGGCGAGGCCAAAAAAAAGAACAGTTCCTCTTAAAACGTGAGCAGTGGGTTACCTTTCTTTCCAGCGTGATCACAGATCTAATCAGATCGTTTTTGCATCTGCCTGATCGCATATTCGGCTAACAAATTATTGCCACCACTGTAATTAAGTGTATTTGCATCATTTTCTTCAAAGTACCAGAGGGGAAGAGAAAGATGCTTATTAGCAATAAGAAATCAAGAAAAAAAAATTTTTCAAGGTGTCAGCCTCAAGGGGCATAAAACAAACTGCAAAATTCTAATTAAAGGTCGCAGGCTTATGTGTTAGATGTGAAATATCCCCTGACAAACGAATAACCAATTTGTGAATTGGGATTCAGGGGGTTTTTGCAAGTTTGTCTCAGTAACGAGACACCTCTAAATTAGTGACTTCCTCAGTACCTAAGGCACTTAGTTTATACATGTAGTAAATTTCACATCAAACTAAGATCAATTTTCTGGTTTATTTTCAATAACTGTGAAATAAATGGGTAATTTTCAGTTAAGCCTTAATATTAGACATAAAGAAGTAATAAGCTTTCAAACTGAAAACAATTAATACCTGGGAGCAGTGAAAATGGGAAGATACATAAACTGCCCCATGCTTTCGTGGCAAGACGCGTTAGGAATTACTGCACAATCTGGCATGTGAAATCACAAATTCAACAATCCACCTAATGTCTACTGCCCTAAAAACATTTGAAAAGGAGTGAAATTTCTGAATCGAGTCCAAAATATCTTCGGCTGATGTACAAAGCAAAAAAATACTGAAACGTCTTAAAAATGAAGAGGACAACCATAGCAAAAGAAAATTCCTCAATTCTCTTCTGCAAGAAAAGCACAGCTCATCCTGCATGAAACGTGTGTCTCAAAGCTGATTTCGGTTCCATCGGTACAGACGGCACACGTCAAACGGGAAAAAAAACCCTTTATGAAAAGTTTAAGAAAACGTCCATCCATTCTCCCCCTTATGGGTAAAGCAACACATGCAAAACATTATAGTTGAAGACATTTCCGAATATAATCTAATTTTCTTGGTATTTTGTTCTGCAAGCATGCTACCGAGCACCCAGGCTCTTCCTCGCCTCTGACAAGCACTCTACATGCAGCATTGCAAAGTGAATCCCCATTTCTCCCACATTACTTTGACAGTGTTTCTCAGCAATCCGGAGCTGCTCTCCCCTCTCTCTCAGCAGCATTTTGCACAAGACGCCGGGCTGCACCACTCCATGAACATACAATTACCAACCCCCTTTGTCAGAAAACCGAATTCTGAGCTACACAGAAAGCGACCGAAAAAATCTGAATACATCTGGATGGCTTCACCAAGTCATCCCAACATCTCTGTTTGCTGCACTTCACCCTGCTCAGCTCCTGAGAACCCCCTGCATCCACAGCACAGAAATACATCACCCCATTATGAATCCACATCCTTTTCTCCGCGGAGGCTGGCCGGGCATCTGCACTGAGCACGAAGCAAACACCAGCTCTGTCCTAGGACTTGTGTGTCAGCCCATGCGAAATTGGGCATTAACATTTTTACTACAGCACCACCTTCAAGGAAAGTGATCGAATCCTTTCATGACTGAAGATGCCGCTTTCTTGTTTCCCACAAGAGCCTGTTGTGGGCAATCTTCAGTAAATACGCCATACAGCATAAATAAAAGAACTAACTTTTAAAAACAACTTGGTGTGTCAGTACCTACAGTATTTTAGCGATGTGTTTACTAATCTGTGGGTGCCTCATCTGTCTGCCAACGCAGACAAAGGGAGGTTTTTTTCTTACCAAAGAGCACTGTAAACTCATGTTCACTCTCTGCTCCTTCACTTAAATGAAAGGGTCAGAAGATCCAGGCTGAATGTCAGCCCTGCCTTTGTTCAGACCCCAACTATTATCACTAATGATAAAGGTACAGACCTCGCACCGCACAGAGCTGCCTCAGAAATAAATCTCAGGCAGTTTCACAAAACAAGTGCCTAATTAGGGCTCATCTGCACCCCTTGTTACAGTTTCCAAATGAAATCAAAGCACTTCCAGTCCTCTGTAAACGCGTCTTACATTTAACCGTTTGTCTTGAAATACAGACTTCAATTTTAAAATATGCACGGATAGCTAAAGATCAAGTGATCTGAATCTATTTGTGCATATTTAAACACTGCTGCTATCTTAGGATTTTGTTTAATGTTAGTATACCAGTAAATTCCTTGATCTGTAAAGAGTCTGAGATTCTCAGTGAGGCCATACTCACACAGTAGATATTTAATTTATACTATTCACTGGAGGGACCTTTTGAACAATCCTCTGCTTTTGGCATCTCTCAGCTAGAGCATGTGTTGAAAAAACACTTAATTATAGAAAATCACTGGAAAGCTAAAATAGTTCTCAAACTTTCATGGCTTTTCATACTTATTGAGGGTGCCACTGGCTTTTTGGGGGAGGGGAGGAGAAGGGGAACTACAACACAGGCTTTTCCCCTGTTGGAGAGGAGGATTCGCGTTAAAAAAAATGAATCCTACATTTCTACTGAAGTTGTGGAATTCAGTCATTTTCATACGAGCAAATTATCAAGGGGCGTAATTGTTAAGCACTACTTAAAGGACACTGAAAACCCTCTTACTGCTCCAAAAGAATAAATATCCCCTATTTCTTACAGTACCGTAACCCTATTTCTAATGCCTCCTTCCTCTTCTTAATGTAAAATGCAGCCAAAATTCATCACACTGAGTAATGTACTTATTTTATGCACAAAGCAAAATCCTAAATGTATTTATCCAGTGAAAGTCTTTATGCACATATTTTCTAATACCGATGTGAAAATTAAAACCTTAGGGGTAAATATGGCAGAAACACTAACAAACTTCATTTATTAAACCATGTAAAATAATCCTTGCTCTTTAGTTGCCTACAACAGGGTACAGCATCCCAACCAGTGGCACAGGCAATAACCCTGCTCTAATAAGTAACGCAGGAACCTGCTGAAGGCAAAATCAATAGAGCCTGATTCCCAAATTATCTGAATATTTAGTTTTTCAAACATTACACACCAAGATCTTTCAGAGCCAGCTTATCTTTTTCTGCCTTTCTAAGCTAACTGCATAAGTACTGCTTGTAAAAACTATTTGCCCATGCAAAGTGAAATAATCACAATGCCATGCTCATTTACACACAAAATGATTTTGTGTCCCATTGTGCTCACAGTTGTTCAGCTCTCTAGGGGTGATTAAACTAGCTATGCTGCTACAGCTTGAGATGATTTCACTGAATCGTTTCTCCATGAAGTTGCTTCTTTGCTAAGCTGTTATTTTAACCATAAAAGGTAAACAGAAGGCAGTTGTAAGAGCTCCATTCAGCTCCGTGCCCAGGGCTATAACCCTGGGGCAGAGAATGCTGAAAGACTGCAGAATTTTCCAGGGTGTTGCCTTTCTTGCTCTAAAGCCTTCAGGAATACTGTTCATTTAATACACACTCTAGATGATACATTTCAGATCCTACTAAAAGAAAGACTTCAAAAGTGTAAGAACTTTTGGGCGGATGAAGCTTTCCCACCTCTGCACATAGCTCGGGGCCATGGTAACCAATACTGCTGTTGATGTTGGGAAAATACAGCAGAAATCAACTGCTCAGAGCAGAGCAGGCAGAGAGGGACAGGGGGGTGAAAGGTTGCAGGGAAGAGACGGGCAGCAGTCTGGATAACGAGAAAAAGGGGGAAAGAACGAAAAAGGAGGCGGCTCCGAAGGAGGGACAAAGTTAAATCAAGGAGCAGGCACTTAAAAGACTACAGATGGGAAGCAAGACTAATTAAGGATGTAAAAAGCGCTTTGTTTCTAAAGTTTATTGTTGCCAGGATAAAAATTAATTGAAACTAATGCTGTTATTCACTCGTGCAGTTTAATTCCTTCACGCACATTTCGGAGGGGGAATGGGAGGGCAGGTTTGGGGACCCGCCGCGCAGCAGCTGGCTCTGCGGGGAGCGGGGGCAGGCGGGGACCCCCGGCGCGGCACCCCCGCCCGGGTACCGGGGGAGGCCGTGCCCCCCTCCCCGGAGACCTTTATTCCTCCACCGGCAGAGCCCCGGGGGCGGCAGCAGGGCGGGCGGGCGGCCCCCGGCCCATCCCCGGCGCCCCGGGGCGATGCCCGGCGGCGGGAGCCACCCGGCGCTGCGGGGCTGCGCGGCGCCGCCGGCCCTTCCCGCTCCTTCCCGCTCCCCGCGGCGCCCCGGGG